ACCGACTTTCTATTAACCTCGGCATTGATCAAGTAATTTTCTTCGTATTTTTGTTGAGCAAACGCGAGGTGTTACTATTCTTTGTTCACGATTACGATCACGATCACGATTTAGCCTTCCTTTCGCCTAAGATATTACTATGTTTAACGTTTTGTTTTCTGCCTTCTATAATTTTCATGGCAGGTTACCTTTCCAGGCTCTGAAGAAGGCAAAATTCGCCGAAACGTCAGCTTAATCGTGAACAAAGAACAATAACACCATGGCTGCTGGTTTGAAACCATCAGTTATCTCTCAACTTAAAGTTGCCTTACCAACATGCCCCGTCTTGTACTTACTTATAAAAACTCATAAGTTAGTATCCAGCGATGATCTTGCGTCTACCGATCCATCACTATTTAAGGTTAGACCTATCATTAGCTGTGTAGACGGGCCAACGGACAGGATAACATGGTTTTTAACCCTAATATTTAACCAGTTGTTGAAACACATTCCAGCCCATCTTACGAATACCCAGATGTTTCTGGATCGTCTACGTACTGCGCAGCCCAACAGCGCGTGCGTGATGGAGTCCTTCGACGTTACCGCCCTTTATACAAACGTGTCGAATGACTCCGCAATGCAAGCCATATTCGAACTCCTTACACAACACGAAGGAGAAATAAACATGTATGGCTTCAGGATAGAGCACCTGATGGCACTCTTAAAAGAATGCTTGGGCTGCTTAATATTCAGATGGTGTGGCAAGTACTACGCCCAAATAAGAGGGTTGGCAATGGGGCAACGACTGGCTCCAAGCCTTGCCATTGCATTTATGTCTAAGGTGGAAGCACCGGTGACTGATCTCGGGCCGCTACTCTACTGTAGGTATGTAGACGACTGCTTTGTCCTTTGCTCAACACAAGAGGAATTGGACAAATGCTTCGAATTGTTAAACGCACAGTCAGAGTATATCAAGTTCACCCGAGAAAAGCCGAAAGAAAAATGGCTTCCATTTTTGAACGTACAAATTCACCTATCAGAAAATGGCTACATTACAAAATGGTACCGAATGCCAAGTAGTAAAAACATCTTGGTTCATTACCTCTCCTCTCAGCCCTCTCACACGAAAAGGGCGCTTATAAGAAACATGTTTCGAACAGCAACCAACGTGTGCACGGGAAGAGAGCAAAGAGAGGAGTCCCGGAACTTGGCACGGCAAATAGCCATTTCTAAGGGCTACGAAACTGTAGCTCAGAATAGGTGTAGAGGAAATCGTAGGCCTCCAAACGACAACTCTAGCGATAGAATGGTCCCNACAACTCTAGCGATAGAATGGTCCCGTTTATCCTACCCTTCATCTCAAATGATATAAGTACAGCTATAAAACGCTGCTTACGAAGGGCGGGTTTAGAGAATTCGGGTAGACCCCTCTGTGTAGGCATGAAAGAACACCTAGCCGGCAAAAATAGACCAAATACCCCGCTAGGCACGCATAGGACCCAGAGACATAACGGGGACGACTTCGAAGTATGTGTCACGATCCTCGCACGCGAATCGAGAACACAGGCGCGAAGAACCCTCGAGGCACTCTGGATTAATTCCAGAAATCCGAAAATGAACCGCAGGGAAGAATGCCTCATTATCACCCGTGATATAGGGCAGTATATAAAACTGCTTTTCTGATGTGAGGGGCACATTATACTTCCACGTGATTTCTGTGCGGTTGGTCTCTACGTGACATACTTAGTGGAGACCTCATAGAAAGCGGTGGGTGTGCAAAGCTGTGTTCAAAGTGATTGAAATCTTGGTTTGGAGTTTCTTTGTTTGGTTATGGAGGCGTCTGGCCGAGTGGGTTGCTATCAACTTGACCTTTCCAGGCTCTGAAGAAGGCGAAATTCGCCGAAACGTCAGCTTAATCGTGAACAAAGAGCAATAACACCTCGCGTTTGCTCAAAAAAAATACGAACAAAATTTACTGTGTCGTTTTCTGCATATGGAAGCCCAAGATCGGAGTTTCTGATCGGAGTTCTTCAAAGTAGTTCATTTTTTAATTTTGTTCCATTTGATTCGACTTCACATCTGTTGTGCGGATCCCAGCATTTTTACAATCGATTTGTTTCCTCACATCCATTGTCCACGAAGGTCTTCCAAGTTTTGACATGTGGCTTCGGTTGCTGCTTGAGGATTTTGAATTCATCCTGAATGTCGTAGAATGTTGCTCGAGTAATTGTCTCTAGAGTCAATAGACAGCCGGGCTGGAGTGTTTTAAAGTGGATTTCAAGGAGTAATTTTTTTCCAGACAAGTCCAGTGCCAATTTTCCGGCCTCGGAGGGATGAGAGGCTTGGTTGGCCCAGTGCGGTGTCGAACCAGCACCGTGCTCGTGATGACTTGCATCACTACCACTGCGCTATCCACCCCTTCTATCCCAATTCTTTAATGAAATACATTTTTTAACTGCGTTGAGCAGTTTTGTCTGCGTATAGCGTTGTAACCATAGACCCCAATCATATGAGGGATTTCGAGCCGGTTAGTCGCGAGGCTACGTGGCGCGTCGCCAGGTGGCGGATAGGTGACAATCATGGACTAAAAGCGATCTTTGCTTCTCTGTGACGCCGTGGATCCGAGGGACGTTTCTGCTAAGCCGATTTGGCGCATACTTTTTGTATTTGAGGAACGTATTCATGCATGCGTGTGTGGGTGCGTTCTTGTTTATGCGGATTATATTCTACGAGTAAATTCGGCCAAAAGCCTGCAATCAAGTGACTGGGAAGTATATGGGAGGCGGTTGGAGATCGGCTCGAACATATAAGTTTCATGTCCACTCTAGGAAAGACTGGTAAGCTAGCATGAGTATAAATAGCCTTTACATCCAGAACCCATCAAGCTATAGGTGGGTATCAAAGAGAGCCAAAGCAGTGAAAGAAACGGTTCTCATCCCCTGATCCCGAAAGAGCCCACAACTCGGCAGCATTGGGTAATACGAATACGGAGAGGCTGCTAAAATATGAAAACCAATATAAGCTGCCTAGATCACAACGAGGAGCGAAGGTGGCGATCTTTACCTAGAATGCACTTACTCTTGCATCTGAGCCTTCGACAGAAGACTTGATCATGCAAGCAAGAAGGATAATTTACGACGTCATCGGTCTGGCCCAGACTAAACGACGCCACCGCACTCAACGCCGTCTATGGCACCAGAAAAAAACTGTTTCTGTAAACATGCAACAGCAGAGCAATCGGAGGCCTTTCCGTCTACGCGAGTATGTCCATGAACATCGATTCATTCGAACAACTTACAACCTGAAACGGACGTTTACGATTAAAAAGATGTAGAGTTCTACCGACAGGCACTCGACATCAAACTGTGACGAAAAAAAGTCGGAATGTTCTATATCGACTTGAGGAATTTATACGAAGAATACCATACCTTCTTCAAGGCCATCGATGGAGATTTCAACGCTAAGATTTGACCAAGAGGAACGTCTTAGGAACGTCACATTAAGACCAACGGATTAGAATGAAACAAACAGGGTGAAGTGCTTTCTGAGTTTATCATGACGGCCAGAACCATTCGTTGTAACTCACAATTTCGTAAGCCCCACCCTTAATACTGGACGTGGAAGTCTCTCAGTGGAGAGTCCCATAGCGAAACATACCACGTCATAGTAAATCGAGGGTCTTTTCTTACCGATGTCGCTGTTGTATCAAAATTTACACGGTATTAGACCACCGCCTTCTTCGTGCAAGGATCCATTCCTTACAAAAAGAAGAACAAACCGCTAAGTTCCAAAAACGAAGTCACAGAACTACCGTAAAGTGGGGCTTGTAGAATTCATTCGTCGGCTGTTGGGAAAATGCCGCTGCTTATGACATCGACGAAAAATACGGTGGTCTAATTCAACATCCTCACGTTTGCGTCATGAAAACTCAGAGTTCGAAAGTCACCAAGAAAAATCTGTCGCTCGAAACACTCGAGCTGATACACCAGCGCGGAATCGCACGAGCTGCAGGCAACCGCGAACTTAAGGCCGAGCTTGCAAAACAATGCATATAAGCTATATAAAGGACTTTAAAGGTCGAAGAGCAGCAATAATGATCAAAGTTGCAGAGACTGGAAAAATCATTCGCAAGCCCACCAAAGCTTCCCCACATGCAAAACCGACATTATTGCATTCCGATGCCTAAACGGATCAGTAACAGTGTCGAGAAGAGAAATGCAGAAAATCATAGACGAATACTACTCAGGTCTCTTCAAGAGCCACGCCCTCCTTCCTTCCTGTGAAATAAAGAAGGATAGGTGGGTTGCACCACCGGTTCTCGGTTTGGAAATCCGACATGCTATTTCGTTAGTGAAAAATCGAACAGCACCAGGTCCAGACAGGATAAGATCTGAACATTTGAAGAATCTTCCGTCAATCCTCATAAACACACTGTCTCCGCTGCTCACACGTTACCTGTCAGAATGCATGCTCTCTCAGTGGAAGACCATCAAGACCATACTATTATTCAAAAAGTGAAGAAGGGTGACTTCCACGATATTGTCAGCTTTTGTCCAATCAGGTTGCAGTCTGTAGTCAGCAAACTTTTCACTCGAGTCCATCCTAAAGAGGATTGACAGAACACTGGACGGATGGAAGCAGTGCGAGCAACGGCGTGTCTATAAGGATTTAGTACGATGGACAACATCCACACGATGGCAAGACTAACTGAAGTATCGCGAGAGCACAAAAAACCGCTCTATCTCACTTCGATGGACTTGAAGAAGGCTTTTGACTCAATTGAGATAGAAGCAGTCATGGAAGCCCTTGATAATCAGGTATTTCCTATTCAGTGTATAAACAATCTTCGTGAGCTATACAAAGATTTCGCAACCAAGAGCTCACCATTCTACAACGATATTAACATCGACGTGGAAAGAGGTGTTAAAAAAAGCGGTACAATCTCGCAATTGCTATTTACTGCTACTCTCGAGAACGTCGTGCGAACGTCGGGGTAGAATCACATAGGAGTGAAAATCAATGGTCGGCATTTATGCCATCTTCGCTTTGATGATAACATCGTCCTTATAACACTAAACATTAACCGAGCGAAACGTATGCTTGCCGACTTTGACAAATCCTGTGGAAGGATTGGTCTTCGACTAAATCTCACAAAAACCATGCTCATGGAGTATGGGCTGGTAATCTATTTTTCGTTCATGCTTTACGAAAATGAATATTTTCGAAAAATGCTGTTACGCTTACTTGTCACCTCACCTGTATCACCTGTAGTCTTATTGATCGCCGAGTGAATCGAGCGGGTTCCAGTAAATCCTCCACTTTTCACTGTCGCGTGCAAGAGTAGCCCAGTGGGTTCTGCTCGCTCTAGAAACTCGTTGAGGGTCATCTCTTTTTTCTAGGCTTCTTGTAAAAAACTCTGACCGTGGGGTTGGTGGTCTTCCTGCAATATCTTTGACATCCCAAGGAATCTAGACACTAACGGCTTTTGTCCATCGGTTGTCATTCACACGCATTACGTGGCCGGCCCAACATATCGTCGACTCTTTGGTGTACAGAACGGCGTCTTTGATTTTTGATCGTTGACGCAGACCGGAGCTCCGGATCCCATCCCTCATTTGTGTGGAACGAGATACTCCTAGCATCGTCATTTTGACTGCGCGTTCGATTACGGTGATCCTGCTTACGTAGCGACCAGTTTCCTCACGCACAGTTTAGGGCAGGAAATACTGCTGAGTCGAAAAGGTGGGCACGGAGTCGAGTGTTCATTGTCCTCTTCACTACATCCTCGATGCTCTTGAAAGCTTCCCAAGCCGCTCGTTTTCTTCTGCTCAACTCTGGAGCTGAGTCGTTCATCATATTGATTTCCGACCTAGACAGATATAATTGGAGCATTCAGAGGTATTCGTTCCGTTGAGCGTGAATGGAGCATGCGAAACCAATCTGTTTTTCACGAACGTCTTTTTTGTCAGATTTAGTCGAAGACCAACCTTCTCACAGGCTTTATCAAAACCGTCAAGCATATGTTCCGCTTGGCTAAAGTTTGGTGTTATAAGGACGACGTCATCAGCAAAGCGGAGATGGTGTAACTGGCGACCGTCGATTTTCACTCCCACGTTATCTCATTCCAATGTTTGCATGACGTTCTAGAGGCTGGCGGTAAATAATTTGGTCAGATGGTATCGCCTTGACTAACCCCTCTTTTGACGCCAATGTTAACAACGTTGTAGAATTGTGATGTTTTGGTTGTGAAATTTTTGTACAGCTCACAAAGAATTTTTATGTACTGAGTAGAGACTCCTTGACTATGAAGGGCTTCCAAGACTGCTTCTATCTCAACTAAATCAAAGGCCTGTAAATCGATGAAAGTGAAACAGAGCGGTCTTTTGTTCTCTCGCGATATTTCAATGAGCCGTGTTACCGTGTGGATGTGGTCCATCGTACGAAATCCTCTTTGAAACTCTGCTTCGTCACATGGCTTTCCTTCGTCTAGTGTTCTGTTAATCCTGCTTTGGATGACTCGACTGAAAAGTTTGGGAATGACAGATAGTAAGCTGATTGGGAGGTAGTTGCCGATATCGTGCAGGTCACTCTTCTTGAACAATGACACGGTCTTGTTGCTCTTGCATTGAGTAGGGGCTTTGCATTCAGACAGGTAACATGCGCAGAGCCGAGCCAGTGTGTTTACGAGGACTGACGGAAGGTTCTCCAGGAGTTCTGGTTTTATCCTGTCCGGACCTGGTACTGTTATATTTTTCACTGACGAAATGGCATGTAGGGTTTCGGAAGGGAGAACCGGTGGTACAACATATCCATCCTCCTTTATTTCATACGACGTAAGGTGGACGTGGCTATCGAAGAGATCCGAGCTGTATACGTTAATGATTTTCTCCATTGCCTTTCAGGACGCTGTAACTGTTCCGTCTGGGCGTCGGAGAGCAATCATCTTGGTCCTGTAATTGGCAAAAGTTGGGTGGACTTTGCAAAAGCTTTTCCCAGCCTCTGCAGCTTCGACCATTGCTGTTGCTCTTCTCTCTTTATGATCTTCTTTCATCGCCTGCCTGCATTGTTTTGCAAATTCGGACGTTAGTTCGCGGTTACCTGCAGCCATGGCGATTCCACGCTAGCGTATCATCTCAAGTGTTTCTGGAGACAAGCGTCTCTTGGTGACTTTCGAACTCTCAGCTTTCATAGCGCTAACGTGAAGATGTTAAATGAGGCGATCGTATTCTTCGTCGATGTTATTGACGGTGGCTTCTTCCCAACAGCCGACTAATGAGTTGTATACATCCCAGTTTACGGTGGTTCTGGGACTTCGGTTTTGGAATTTAGCAGCTTTTGCTCCTTTCCGCGAAAAACATATTCTTGCACAAAGGAGACGGTGGTCTGATCCCGTGTAGAATTTTGAGACAACAGCGACACTGGGTGAGCAAAACCCTCCATTTACTATGATGTGGTCTATTTCGTTATGGTACTCTCCATTGGGAGAGTCCCACGTTTAGTGCTGCGTGTGGGGCTTCCGAAAATGTGAATTACCATGGATTGTCTTGGTCGCCATGATAAGCTCAAATAGCTGCTCACCTTGTTCGTTCTATTCTTATCCGTGAGTCCCAATGTGACGTTCTTCAGACGTTCTTCTTGGTCCAATCTTGGCATCGAAATTTTCAATGATTACCGTGAAGAATGTGTGGTCTTCTCTGTAGAACTTCTCCAAGTCCGTATAGAACTCTTCGACTTTTCTTAGTCATAGTTTGATGTCGGCGCATAAATGACGAAGGTTGTCAATGCTGGAATTGATCCACATCTGTTTAAATCGTAAACGTCCTATTCGTGTTGTAAGTTGTTTGAATGAATCGATGTTTATGGACAAACTCGTGTTGACGAGAACTCCTACGCCGCCGAATCTATTGTCGCATGTTTCGAGGAACAGTTTTTCTCCTGTATCATAGATGGCGTTGATTGGGCGGCGTCGTCTCGTTTCGGCGAGGTTGATGATGTCGTACCTTGTTCTCCTTGCTTGCATGAGCAAATCTTCATCAAGGACTCGGGTGCAAGTATACGTGCACTGTAGATACAGATCGTCACCATTGTTCTTCGTGATCCAGGTAGCTTCTATTGGTCCTGAGATTCTAGCAGACTCTCCATACTCGTCCTACCAACAGCTGCTAAACTGGGGGCTCTTTCGGGGTCAGGCGAATAAGGCCCATTTTTTTAAACTGTGTTTAGCATTTTTGTTACACACGTATAGCTTGCTGGGCTCTGAACGTGGGGCTGCATGTACCCACGGGTAGCTTGCCAGGATCTCCCAGAGTGCAGATGTAGCTCATTTGTTGGAGGCAATTCCTAACCGCCTTGCGTATGCTTCCCAGTCACTTGATTGCAAGCTTTTGGCTAAATTGACTCGTAGAATACAATCCGCATAAGCAAGAAAGCACCCACACACGCATGCATGAATACGTCTTGCAAATACAGAAAGTATGTACCAAATCAGCGCAGCAGAAGCAGGAAGTCCATCGCCTGGTTGCACCTTCGTCTCAGAGAAGCAAAGGTCGCTTTTGGTCTGCTGTTACTAGGATGTTTTTACTACTTGGTTTTGATACCACTTTGTAATGTAGCCGTTTTTGATAGGTTAATTTGCACGTTCAGAAATGGAAGCCAATATTTTTTGGTTTCTCTTGGGTGAATTTAAAATACTCTGACTGTGTGTTCAACAACTCGAAACATCTGTCAATTTCTTCTTGTGTTAAACATATGACCAAACGGTCATCTAAATGTCTACAGTAGAGTAACGGACCGAGGTCGATTACTGGCGCTTCCACCTCAGATATTAATGCAATGGCAAGGCTTGGGACCGTTGTCCCATTGGCAACTCTCTTATTTGAGCGTAATACCTCTCGGACCATCTGAAGATTGAGCAGTTTGAGCACTCCTTTAAGAGTGTCATCAACTGCTGAATCGAGAAGCCGTACATGTTTATTGCTTCTTCGTTTTGTATAAGGAGCTCGTTTATGGTTTGCATAGCGGTGTCATTCGACACGAACAAAGGACAAAGCAGTTGTCTACATATCTACAGTAGAGTAGCTGCCCGAGATCAGTCACCGATGCTTCCACCTTAGACATAAATGCAATGGCAAGGCTTGGAGCCAGTCGTTGTCTCATTGCCAACCCTCTTATTTGAGCGTAGTACTTTCCAGACCATCTGAAAATTGAGCAGCTCAAGCAATCTTTTAAGAGTGCCATCAACTGCTCTGTCTTGAAGCCATACATATTTATTCCTCCTTCGTGTTGCATAAGGAGTGCGAGTATGGCTTGCATTGCGTAGTCATTCGACACGTTTGTATAAAGGGCGGTAACGTCGAAGGACTCCATCACGCACGCGCTGTTGGGCTGCGCAGTACGTAGACGATCCAGAAACATCTGGGTATTCATAAGATGGGCAGGAATGTGTTTCAACAACTGGTTAAATATTAGGGTTAAAAACCACGTTATCCTGTCCGTTGGCCCGTCTACGCAGCTAATGATAGGTCTAACCTTAAATAGTGATGGATCGGTAGACGCAAGATCATCGCTGGATACTAACTGATGGGTTTTGATAAGTAAGTATGGGATGTGAGAATAAGGAACGGACGCGGGCGTTGTGGCAAATATTTTACTATACAGTAGATTACATGCAGTTATGAGAAATGTTTTCTCTCGACTTATGAAATAT